TATATATATATGTATATATATATATATATATATATTTACGACTTAACCCTAAGCTTAGCTCGACTTAAGGTTTAAGTAACCTCACCCCGTGGCGCGGGGGATGCCCTTACGCGCGTCACCCAGGGCGGACACATCTTAAGAACCTAGTAAAATCCTAAAACCGGAAGCTCCGCCGTGACGACAGGCCAGCTGCCTTCTTTGTTTCTTTGGCGGAGACCGCTCGTCCGTTCTCTCTTTCTCTTTCTCTCCCTCTCATTCTCTCTCTTTCACACTGTCTATGCGATTCCTCTCATTAATATAGATGTAACCGCGCGCGAGTCGTTCATTCCGTCTCTCATCGCTTTCCCACGTCGGAGAAAGAAATGACACGAGAGTAATGGTACCCAATGAAGACAGGGGAAGTCGTTCTTCCTTATACATGAACATCTCGACGTGTGTAAACGAATCTACCTATAAGATATATCGCTACCATTCCGCTCGTCGTTGATACGTACGTACATATGCGCGCGCGCGCGCGTATGTACATTGGGTCGATTAATTCGCGAGAAACACGCGGATAGTGTAGTGTACAGGTCCGTGGATGCTGGGAAGAGAAGAAGAGCGAGGAATTGCGAGAGACGGAGACTGAGCGAAGGAGATAAGATATATAGGAGAGAGAGAGATATACAGAGAGATAGAAAGAAAAAGAGCAAGGAATAATTGCACGAGCGGCGAGAGAACGGAGAACATCGCACGCGCGCGGTTCATCGCAGATGGGAGGCTAACATTCTCATTTTCCATTCGCGAGTGTACGCTAAAAAGAGATACAGAGGCAAATCCTCGGAGAAGAGGAGGCCTGCTACGAAACATCCGGCTGGGTGTTTCTCGATGTTCTTACAGCCCCCTTTCCTTGACTGCTTGCTTTCTTCTGCTATGCGCACACCGGGACCGATGACGATGCTCGTTGAAAATCGCATCGATGAAGAATCGCTTTCGCTTCGCAACCGTCTGTCCGTCCGTTCCTGATTTTCCTCTTGCGACGGCGATGATTTCTCCTGACTCCTCGATGAACGGCACACTGGTTGTAACAGCAGGGGGGGGGGGGAGAGAGACGAGCAATGGTTTGCAAATGTTCGGTGTTGGCGGCGATAGCCGGGGTCTTAGGACCCATCCATCAATCCGCCATCTGAAAAACGTTCACTTTATATTAATGCGGTAACATAAAATATGTAGCGTACACTCGTCTTTATTCTTTTCCCGTTGGCATTTCAGTATCAGATGAAAAATGTTCCAACCCAAATGTATTGATCTTTTTCAAAAGATAATATTTAAAATAGTATAACAATCTATAATTTTTAATATAATATGATGGACAATATGTAATTTTTAATATAATATTGAAGATAATATTAAAAATATATTACGTATATTTTAACAAAATGAAAAAATTAGGAACTTTTCTGTATACATTTAAAAATAATACAGTTTTTTTTATGCTGCGATTTAGAACTTGAATCAAATATTATTTCAATAAGAAGTAATATTTTTAAAAAATAATTAAGCTAAAATGCAAAAATTTTCATTTAAAATATAAAATTGTATCAATAAATATAAATGTTGATCTTATTGAACTGTTTCATATATAAAAAATAAGTAAAATATAAATTTTCAATTGCTATCACTTTTTGCAGAGAGTATGCACTTGATATATCCTTAAGCATTTTGTCATACTAGGAAAAAAAGGACTATTATCGTAAATTAATGACTAAAAATTCATTATATTCATATTATTTCACAAGGTGTATAGGAGAAAGATTTTTAAAAAACTCTCTTAATAAATAACTCCTCGGCAAGTAATTATTCAACTCGAGTAAGAGCATCGACTCGAAGTCGATTAAGACAGCGTTAAATATTATGTAATCCTACGAAATTTACTGACTAAACCGGGTAGAGGATGGCAAGAGTGGCTTCAGTCATGGATCCGGGTTTGATTTCACCCATGCCTACGCGTTTCTCATGTCTGGAGATCATCACTCTACCTAATGTCTGTTTCCCGAGGAGGATAAATACTTGCTACGCATTTACTTACTAGACCCTCTAAATGAGTCGAAAAGCCAAACAACTAAAGCAAGAAAGGAAAAGTTAGACAGAAGGAAGGTTTTTCTTGTGCCTCTCAATGTTTAGAACGTCTGCGGACGTGTACCTTGAGTGGACGAGTGTGGGGCTCACGACTGCGGTTGCGGCATGTTGTGGTCCCGCTTGTCTCCCGCAGGAGGCGGCGGCTTTGCCACGGATTTCTCCTCATTCGCCGGTGTAGGCGGTGCATCTTTCCTCGGTGGCATTCTTTCGTTTATGGCGTCCAAGCCCTTGGCCTCGGCGAACGAGGTAATTTTATGATTCGGCGAGAAGCCTTGAAGTGCTGCACGAACGGCAGAAAAAAAGGAGATAAAACAAATAGAATGTTAGAATATGTAAAATTGTAAGAGAGCTGTTTCTGCAAAAATTAAATTCTCTCTATTTCGCGATTATTTAGTTATATCAGCGGTTTTCGACCGACTTTTCTATTCGTGGCACATTAAATGACAAGCCAAATTTTTTGAGGTATAGCACCTAATGGTGCGCATGTTTCAATGCTTAGCATAGATTTTTTTATCAAATATTGTTAACATGACATTCAGAAATGTAAAAAGTAAAGTTTTAAAGTTTTTATTTTTCATTTTATCATATTTTTTAAAAACAATTTTATTGCAATTATGATATCGCGTTGGTTAAAATGACAGTAAACAATATAACACAAAATTTAAAACATATACCTTACTTGGCATCTCACTCGCCTTTTTACTTATTTCTAAAATCCGCTTCTTTTTACTTTCTCTACAATTTTTGCGGTTACAAAATCCGAAATTATATTGTGAGATGTTTATTATCCACGAATAATATAATTGGGACAATTCGGTATTTTTCCTCTTCTACCTTCGCGTTGCATCACAGACAGAATAATTAAATATATGCACAATTCACTGCATTTTTAAATTCGAAATTGAATTACAATGATTCTCAACGCTAATGTCAAAAGTTGTTTTATACAATTTTTACCATTTTTCAGAGAGGTTTTGCCACCAGATAATGCACCGAGCGGTAAAGCTCCAGTCGGCGTTAAGCCCTTCAACTGCAGAACGCTCTCGCTCTCCTCTCTGTGAAGAAATTAAAATTACATTATATAATAATAATGAAATAATTAAAAATCAATAAATAGTCGCAAAAGTTGTAGATCAGTTTTTATAATATATATAATGTATAACTATTTTATTTTAAATTGTAATTCGTATAAAAATCTACCCTTATGAGTTTCGGAACAACTTTTACGTCTATTATTTTTATAATTAAAATATTTTAAGGCACATTATAACGTATTTAAAGCCTTTAAAGATTGTTTTATTGTTCACTGACCTCAGGACGGAGAACACCCGTGCCATTTTGCCAATGGCTCTGATCTTGTTTCTGATCACTTCCTTACGTAGATTGGCTGCTGCACCTATAAATATTAGAGACGCATATTATGGCATTCGTATGGTAATGAAATATTAGCACCTAGATCATCCAGTAACGATCAACATAGCGAAAGGAATCGGCGATCCGTTCGAGTTCAACAATTTATAATGATTTCTTGAGTAATCATCAACATTGATCTCTAATTTAAAAAAAATTAAAAGCAAACATAAGACAATTATGGTGGTCTTTGAAAATTTTCAATTTTACACCGTGTAAATTTTCAATACGCCTACGTTCAAAAGTGTTCTTCAACATCGTGATCGATAGCGCTGTTGCAACAGTACAAAAGCTGGCTCCATTAATTTACGATACATTTTAATTAAGAAACTCAATAGCTTCGCCACGTCGCTTCGTCACCGATTTGCCGCGCGTTCGTCATCGCGCTTGCAAATCATTTGCGATGATTCTCGCCATCGCACGTTAACTACTACGTAAATCCATACCACAGAGCTTACCGGGGGAATACATTATGTTATTAATAATCACTCGTTCTCATCGGGTCACGCCAAGACAATAACGCCAAGACAACTACAGGCAAAATAGTCTGCGCACATCACGAGCGAGGGAAGGACGTAAAAGCAGCCACGTGACAAAAAAAAATATTGCAAGTGCTTCGACGCGTTCGCAAGTGAATTATCCATTCTTCGCCAATGGTAGAGGGTTTATTCGTTCAGTTCGAGGAAAAAAACCCGAGAGACAAGAAAAAAGGCGAAGAGAATGTGATTGCAACCGCGCGTGCACTAGAAGCTGCGTAAACGTGCATAAATACAGAGTATAAATTCTTTGCAAAAATATTTTGTGTAGCTGTGTGTGTGTGTGTGTGTGTGTGTGTTTGTGTGTGTGTGCGCTAGGTATATATCAAGATATTGTATAAATCAATGCGAGAGAAGAAGAGGCATGCACATGCTGTACAAGCGCGAAACGTACGCACCATCGGCCACTACAAACTCTTATCGTTACCACTTCGCCTGGCAATCGCCTGCTACCTTTCGAGGCTCGTTACAAGCGCGAAACAGTCGCCGCTTTCGTGACAATTCCATTTACGATCGATTCAATCGCGGGTCAGGCGATTCGGCCTCAAGCTGGTCCAGTCATGTTCGTCCCGCGTGAAAACGCTGGGACCAACTAGAGATCCTCAAATAAGAGATTGGCTACACTATTAGATATCAAAGAAGCAATGGCAATCTAATCTCTCGAGTGAAATAACATTTTGTTATTTTTAACTTCCAAATGCGTGTCAAAATGTAAATCAATTCATTTTCATAGTTAGCTTTAAAGTAAGCAACGTCCATATTAACGTGTGCACTTAGTAAATATAATAAACTAAATTTGAATTAAATTTAATACATTTCCTTTAATTTAATACTTTTTTCTGAAATTATTTAACTCTATTATTTTAGTTAAATTTACGATATTGAGTAGGCGATCTATAGAAATCATTAAAAATAACTCAAATTGGATATAATTTGACATAATGAATTTAACAGTGTACCATCCGCCATATTCAGATGCTTAAGATAAAATGAGATAGATTATGTACAAGATAGAATGAGATATCCACGTATATTATTCTATCTTATGCATTTAACCCATTCTATCTTAAGCACTGTTCTGAATATGGTAATCCAATCAGAAGTTATTTAAACGGTAACCGATCTCCTACTTTAATACCTCTAGGATCAATTAAATACCCTCTAATGAGAGTTTGGACACGAGCCATGTTTTGTATGCAGAGTCTACAGTTTTAGCATCAAATCATGCGAAAGAGAGAAGGACATATATTTACTCTTTCTTTCTTTTTTTCAGCTCTCTGCCTCTCTCTCAGGAGTTCAAACATGGATCAATCAAAAGTGGCTGTTTCGTGTCTTGACTCCGATTAGAGAATCTCTAAGACCAACGAAGTAGAAGCGCCTGCAGAATTTCACAGTTTATGAAATGTCCGAAGGAGAAAAAGGATGTTCACTGAGTGGCCACTCTTTCGCACCAAGCCGTCAATTTATCTGTTTGCTCGTTAATTGACGCAATGGTCGAGCCTTGTCGCACGATCGATTGTACCTTAACGAGGAACGGGAGTGAATTCGTTCCGTAGCGCCGCTAAAATTTTCCGTTAGCGAGAAATCAGAGGATAGGGATTTCCCTCTTTTTTCTCTACTTTTTTTCATCCAGAACTCTGAAATATCGTACCTATCGTTTATTTGATTTTCGCGTTGAAAAGACTCGGTTGGGAGTTTTCTTTTACGGTTAACTAGCATTCATTTTGGAAAAACAATACAGCATCTTTTGAGGGAAGCGTCTACATTACTTTTACCCCAATCGCGCGATCCAATCCACATCGTTCACCCAAAAATTCCATCTCGTTTTTATCCGACGGAAGGGGAAAGAACAAATCCGCTCCTTCCGTATTTTGCTACGTATGCGTATGCTCGGTTAAATCGGACGAATAAAAAAAGATACGTGTCGAAAATATCGATGTCGTTCCTCATCATGCGTCGACGAAACATGCTCGGACTTCGTATGGCGCGTGCCATTCCGCGGTATTCTAATGATTTACGGTACAAATCCGCAGTCCTTAGGCCGCTGTCACGATAACGTATCGCCCGATTTGTCAACTCGCAGGGAGATACGAAATTTCAATCTTTCCTGCCATTCGTGAAAACTGTAACCGTGTGACGGGCGCTTTGTTTTCGGAGATGGCGAGCCATCTGAAACGCAGATCGATCGAACGGGAATCAACGAAGATCGGCGAAGGCTGGGACTCTCCAGATTCGATTCATGCTCATATAATGCTTCTTGCATAAAGAACGTAGCAATGCTTGCCGCATGACGAAAGTTGGTGGTAGCCACTCGGAAAGAACGATTTTGCTGAAGTATCTATTATTGTCTGGTGTATTTATATTTATGTTAACTATAATCTATTATGTATATATCATATTTTATGTCTATTATTCTGTTAACATGTAGTCTTCTTCATAAAGCAATAAATTAAATTTAATTAAATTAATTAAATTAAATTAAATTAAATTAAATCTAGAATTATAGCTACGTACAGATCTGAAAATAATTTTGTGGAGCCATCAAAATAATTACGTTATATAGTTAGGAATTCAAGCATGATGAGCAATGTTGCTAAAACAAAATTTTTTAACATTCTAACAACCGTGAATCGACTTAAGCGATCTGTACAATTATTTTGATAATTAACAAAGTTTTGAGATTTATACACGGAAAAAGTGATTTTGTTGAAGCATCTAAAAATTTAGCTTATATAAATATAATTATTTGTAAAATAATTTTGTTAGATCAAAATAATTACGTAGGAATTTCAAGTATGATGAGTAGTACTGCAAAAAGTTTTAACATTCTAGCTTGATAATCAATAAAATTATTTTCAGATACATGGAAAAAACGATTTTGTTGAAGCATCTAAAAATTTAACTTTACGAGTATTTTTGGATCATCAAAATAATTACGAAATAATCTCAAGTATCAACGATAAGCACTGCTAATAAAATTTTGACATTCTAACAATCAACTTCAGCGCTTTACATAATTATTTTAATAATCCAACAATTACTTTCTGATCTGTAGGAGCTAAATTTTTTAATACTTCAACAAAATCATCCTTTCTGTGCAATCACTTTTTTTTTGTTTTTACGAAAAAGCGATAAATTGATTGGCTATCGCGCCAATTTCCGCCACGTAGCAAGCGTTTGCCATATCCTATATGCAGGAGCCATATAAAATCATTTTATCCTTGTTGTTTACCAAAAGTTAAACAAGGATAAATGATGTTCGCTAACGTTGTGAGCGTAAATCGGTCTGCGGTCCAAGACTCGGAGGATCAGCGATCCTCGCGCGCGCGCTTGTCGCGTTGATAGATTAATCAACGGGATTCCTTAAATAGTCACCGAGCCATTTCGAATATCAACGATATTATACGCGTCGCGGGTCAATTAAATGACACTTTCTATAATTAGCGGTCGAAATCGGCGCTGCTGAAAACCGCGAGCCTCTCGACGGCTTATCGCGGCGAGTTATTCGCGATGGGTGCGCGAATATTACATTACGCCCAAGTGCATTCCGCCCGTGTTTCAATCTCACGTAATCCAAAATCTCGCGGTTACCGGAGTTTCCACTTGGTTATGAGATTTTGCCTATCGGCGGAAACGAGATGTCGTCGTCGCGCGAACTCGTTGGCAGCGGGTATCGGGTTTTAGCCGCAATTTTCGCGTAACGAGATTATTCTGTCGGCTCGCAGTTTATTATCCGTGCGTTTACCCGGGTAGGATTCGCGGATCCGAGAACGAGATTCTCTCGCGGGAAATCCTACGATCGACGAAAGGCGACACGAGCTTGGGGAGCACGAAGACGTCGAAGGCACTTCCGTTTTCTGTCGCGGAGGAGGAGAGAGTCGAGGTACGTCAAATATTAGTACGTTCGGCCCTCGAGCAAAGAGCGCAATTTTGCAGCTCGCTCTGTGAATCCCGTTATAACTTCCCCCGGCGGTGGTTATTTGGAATTTGGAAAATTACACTCGTAACGTTTGGGGATTCGCGCGACTTCCCGCGAAATCGAGCGGGAAGGAGCGGAAAAAAACGAAATCGCTTATTTCGTGTTGGGATAGCCTCCGCTCTTCGATCGAGCCGAGCCCGTCCGACAACAGCCCCGGGACAGCTTCCTGCGCTCGCAAATGGAGAGGATGCGGCACATACAACGACGTATATACGTCAACTACAAACTTATACAACAGATCAAGCCTTTTGCTCTCTATACATTTATGTGTTCAGCGCACGGTTACGCACACGTAATCTGCCGCAACGGCGTCACCGCCGTCGGTGCTCGAAATAGTGTAATTCGAGAATTGTATGCCGAATGACGCAAACATGCATATCCCGTGAGAGTGTTTTAGCATAGCAATAATTCGGGAATGAATTTTCACGAGAGCGAGGCAGATACCACGTTTCGATAAAATTAAACATAGAT